AGCTGGGGAATTCTGGGAGTTGAAGTCCACATGTCTTAAAATTGCCAAGCTTGAGGAACACTGTGTTAGGCCCATGAGATCCTTGTATGAAGCAGTGCCTGCGGTGTATGGTCCTACATATAAAGATCTTGTGATCCAGTATTTTGATGACTTGAGTCTTACGAAATAACCAAGTAATAGACATCACAATTATTTTCAACACTGGCATCTAAAGGTCCATATTCTTCTCTGTTACTGATTTTTCTAGATTAGGTATTTTACTACTGATCAGACATTTCATTATTATGGACATTCTAGTTGCTTCTTTGCTCTGCTTAAAATCCATGTATTGATTTACAACTGAAATGATTTTTTATAATTACGTAAGACAGTTTTGGAATATATTCAGCATATATTATGAAGATTACTGAGTGCTTTGTATTATGAAGAGTTCTCAGCGTACTAAATTACAGGTTAGAGTTACATAGTTTTAAAGGGTTAGAAGTACTGAATGCTTCATATTTAGTGCCTGTTGTAACTTTTTGGAGTCTTTTGTTTTTGTTTTTAATTCCAGATCAAAGTGGAAAATTATGATAGCTACCGGGGGAGTCATAACAGGACTGGCTGCCTTAAAAAGGCAAGATTCTGCTAGATCTCAGCATCATCTCAATCTCGCAACATCACCAGCTCCTGAAGAACAGAAACCAATTAAGCGTCGACCAAGGACAGATGTGGTTGTAGTTCGAGGCAAAATCCGGCTGTATTCCCCATCAGGATTCTTCCTCATCCTGGGAGTGCTGATTTCTTTCCTGGGAATTGCTATGGCCATTCTTGGTTATTGGCCTCAAAAAGACCCATTTCTAGAGCCCGAAGACAGCTTGTCACTAAACGAGACTCAAGTAATAGAAAAAGGAGATGGGTTTATAATGCGCTTCCTTGAGCAGCATTTACATTCTGATAAAATGAAAATGCTGGGGCCTTTCACAATGGGGATTGGAATATTTATTTTTATTTGTGCAAATGCCATGCTCCATGAAAACCGGGACAAGGAGACAAAAATCATACACATGAGGGACATCTATTCCACTGTAATTGACATACATACTCTGAGAATCAGCGAGCAAAAACAGCTGAACGGTGCCTACACTGGCTTAGCAGGAGAGAATGAAATCAAGCATAGTGGAAGCTCTTGTGCATCACGGCTGGCTGCAAATACAATTGCTCCTTTCTCAGGCTTTGCAAGCAACTTTCAAATGGTTAGCAATGATGAAGAGGATGAAGTTGCTGGAAATGAGGCCAAGAAATCAACCACAAATCTTATGTCGCCTTTGCTGATGGAACGTTCTGGTTCAGTCTTTGGCCTTTACCCTCACTCTGGGAAAGCAAAGGATGAAAGAAGCAGTGGCTCTCTAAAGTGTGAAACAAAGTCAATTGTATCATCTTCCATTAATGCTTTCACATTACCTGTAATTAAACTAAATAACTGTGTTATTGATGAGCCAAGTATTGACAACATCACTGAGGATTCATCAAGGAGTAGAGACAGACCTAAAAATTTGTCCATGGACTCTTTAGCTCTCCCATTAATGAATACCAGTGATAGCTACAAACCTGCCAATGCTTTGATACCACGCAACAATTTATATGGAGACTCTTCATTCAATCAATTCAAATCTTCAATGACCCTTGGAGCCAGCACTGGTCAGCTCTTATCACCTGGTGCAGCCAGAAAACAGTTTGGGTCCAACACTTCCTTGCATCTCTTGTCTGCACATTCAAAATCCCTAGATTTGGATAGGGGTCCTTCTACTCTCACTGTCCAAGTTGAACAAAGAAAACATCCAAGCTGGCCACGACTGGACCGGAGTAACAGTAAAGGTTATATGAAACTAGAAAACAAGGAAGACCCTATGGACAGGCTTCTCGTACCATCCGCTACAGCAAAGAAGGACTTTACTAATAAGGAAAAGCTTTTGATGATTTCCAGATCTCACAATAATTTGAGTTTTGAGCATGATGAATTTTTGAGTAACAATTTAAAGCGTGGAACTTCAGAAACAAGATTTTGATGGTTCGATGACCACAGTTAATATATTTGCCAGTATTTATTTTATAAAATAAACATTTTGACCCATCCTTTCATTTATTTTCAGTGCTACCTTGTTTTAATTGATTATTTCTCTCTGATTAAAATTGCCTTGTGTTTGCAAATATTATTTTTTCATCACTGTAATGCCAAAAGTTTAATGTTAAGCAGCTTGTTCATGAAAACATGGCCCTGGCATAAGTTATTTGGATAGTGATTGCATTAGATTGCAATTGTATGGTAGATCAAGAATTGATAATGTCTTAATTTACAGCTACTATACCATACGTTATCATCGTTCAGCAGATTTGAGTGACCCAAATCCAAATTGCTTCCTAGTTATTTCTCCTTTGTTTCTACATAAGGGTTTTTTGTTTTGCTTTGTTTTTCATAGTTAAAGGTATAGTTGTAGCTGACTGAATAAGTTTCAGTGTTCAAAACCATCAGTGACTGCAAGTTTAAGAATGATGTTTTTGGCTCAAGATGGAAGCAAATGTAAAGTCTGCAGTACCAGGGCCATATCATTTGTATCATTTGTAGAGATACCTGAGGATATACAAACTAGATATTTTGTCATTCATATTTTGTTATTCATTACCCAGGGTTGGGTGGAAGGAGATTGAAACATTTTTTTTTCATCATTCTCTTCCCAAAATTATTTCTGATGCAATCTAGCACAAAGACCCTTGTACCTTCATTTGCCAGTTTATCAAGGAGCAATATCTGCTGTTCTGATAGAAATGACCCACCAATTAGAGGAGTGTTCACAAACTTTTTTTTTTATCACTCCTATTTCTTGCTACAACTTCTCTCTCCACACCACCCCAATCTTCTACCATCAGTCTATTTACTGAAGACAGGGAGGCTTTAACCCAGGGTTCAGCAACCTAGAGCAAGTTGGTTGGGGATGATAGGAGTTCATCATCAGGAAGGCTATATATTGCTTTAACTCCACAGAAGAGAATTTGCCTGTAGGTTTCATCTAATTTTACATGCTAAAAGTGTTAACAGTACTTGCCCTTTCGTAATAGAAAAACAAAGGTTAAATAACACAGCGCACACACAAAAAAATCCTTGCAATTATTCACTTGAAAATTGGGTAGGCTTCATGTCTTGAGAAGTGTCTACTCTGTCTAGAAATTTCACCCAATTTCATTAAGAAACAAAGTTCTGGCTGTTCATGATTTCCATTGGAAGATTATGGGTGTCATCACTGTTCAGATTTTTAAAAATCTTTTTTCAGATTTTCCCAAGTTGAATACAGTTGCCTCAGTCCAAAATAGCTAAATAAGAACCTGAACTGAATCCTGTAGCTGGTTCACTCTATTATTTCTATAATATAGACACTCTACACAACTCTTCCTGGAAACAAGAAGAAGACAGTGAATGCAAACAGAATGTTTAAATAACAGCATTGGTATTCTGCTGCCCAGTGTAATTCTTTTAATATAAATTGAAAAATAAATTCATCATGCCTGCCATCTTTCAGTATGAAGCTCCTGTGGACCATATTCCTTTACTGTAACACAACTCAGATTGTGACGAAGGCAGCAATACTGATTGACACTGAAAATTATTGTTAAATTAGTAAGGTAAATCAGTTTATTAGAAATAATCCATATGCCTCTCTAAGGAGCCTTTCTCAATTTGGTGCTATGCAGATGTCAACTCTTTTCCCAGCCAGCATATCAAAGTCCATGCTGTCTGTGAATTAGAAGCCCAAGATATCTGAGTGGCATCAAGCTGAGGAAGGCCACCCTGGAGCCTATTCTTGCTTAATAGGCAGTAGTCGACCCCTGTTTGTGGTTTTTCCTACAAGATCACAGTATTAATTGGTCAGAAGATGTTGGACTTAACCTAAATAACTCAGGAATTGATTTAATAGCTTCTCCCAAAATAAAGAGTTATATGTCAAAATGTACTTTAGTTGACTACGAAAGAGATTTTTTTCTATGATTGTTCAGCTCTGTATTCCAATAATAAACTCTTTTTGTGACAAAGGCATTACTTGCCCAGTGAATTGAGGCATAGTGTTAACTTATTAGAATTTTAAGCCTAAATATTGTAACAGAGTTGGCTCAATATTTTGCTATGAAGCTTTTAATAACTTTCTGGTCAGTGTTCTTAATACATTTACTATTTTTTTAAATAAAAGCCAAACATACAACTCTGCACGTATGGTAAATGTGTGTTTCCTTAGTATTCAGTAGTTCTGCTATTATATCAATAGAGGGAAAAGACTAGCTCATTTTTCCCACTTAGATATATGCTCTTCCTGCTTCCCCTTTTCTATGCAGAATTTAATAATAGTGGTACCTGTTCATTTTAATAATGCAAAATGTATTCCTAAAGCTAATTCTATCAAGGCAGAACTTCATATTTCCCTATAGCATGTTCTTCAACTTTATCCATTTCTTTTGATGACTCCATTTCTAAATCAATGAACTAGAAGATCTTCCCCAATCTGATGCCCTCTGACTATGTTGGATTACATCTCCCATAATTCTCAAGAAATAGAACATGTGGATCAGGAGGAACTGTTCTTTATAATGTATATTTCTACCCCAAGATACCTTAAAAGCTAAAAACAGTTAGTTTAGCATTTGGATGGAAGACCATTAGAAAAATTCCAGGGCTGTAGGCTAGTTTTGGAAGTTGAGAAATCTGCTGAAAGTGACTTTTATCCCAAATACAAAATTCTACACCAGACAAAGGAAGGCGCAACAAATACGTTTTATTTTTACTGAATTCTCCCAACGCCATGTAATATTTTTGAACATGACTGAAAACATTTGTAAGCATCTCAATTTTCTTTTATCTTTATTCTATTAAAAAAGCAAAATAAAGCCTTCATTTAACTTTTCAAACAGCAATTACTCAAACTAGGACAGGGGAAAACAGTGACAGCCTGTGTAAAAACTATGCAAAGTGTAAGCATTTCCACCATCAATGTAATTTATGAATAGCACTAAAATCTATTTCAATTTACCGTGTGAGCCTGAAAAAGAAGCAGTGTAATGAAAAAAAAAATCCTTTAAAAGTTTCTAGAAAACATTGTAATTTCTCCAACTTAAAAAAAATAGCAACATAAGAACATAGATGAGATTTATCTAGAGGCATGCTAGTCCCCTGTGATCCCCAGATAGTACAATCTCAGTCTTCAAAACTAAAAGCCCTTGATATCCCTCTCTTCCATGATCATTCTTACTTATTCAAAATTAATAATAATAATAATAATAATAATAATAATAATAATATATGGGCATAAACAGTGGGGGAGAGACAAGAAAGTGGGTGTAAACCCAGACAATTTATAGCCTGAAAAAGACTTTCTGTAAAGACCCATATCTTTGCCAGATCACTCCAGGAACTGGAGCCAAATACCAAGGATGAAACCTAATTACAGTACTACTGTAGTAATTAACTTGTTCTGCATCACCACCTTGCTCCAAATAATAATTACGTTGGTCTGATAGTACTGCAGATGGAAAGATACCAGCCAGTTTCATTTGTTGGAATCCTTTCCTGCATCTGGTTAAAACAAAACTGTGGCTATCCTAGAGCAGAGGTGTGTAGAAGGACACTAAGCAGTTAAAAGAAACGTAACTAGCTTTTGAGAATATTAGGAGGAATTTCTTAACCACAAGAGCTGTTAAACAGTGGAAAAGTCTGTCTGGAACAGTGGTAGACTTTCTGGCTGGAAGTTTTCAAATGAGGTCATTTATTGGGGAGGAATTAATAGATTCTTGTAGTGAGGAGTTGCACTAGATGTCTATACCATGTTTCTCAACCTTGGCAACTTTAAGATGTGTGGACTTCAGCTCCCAGAATGGCCGGCTGGGGAATTCTGGGAGGTTGAAGTCCACACATCTTAAAATTGCCAAGGTTGAGAAACGCTGGTCTATACAATTATTTCCAACTCATACAGCCTGTGAAAATAGTGCATCTCTGAAGGACTTGCATTCAGCAGTAACCACGTTTTGCCTTCTCTAAAATTACTGTTGACATATCAAAAAATTGGAGTGACCAGAAGAGGTAAAGGAGTGAGTGCCATTCAGTTTAGTATTCAGAGCAGGCTTCTGACCTCAAAATTCATGAAATCAAATCATAAATCTTTTGCACCAGGTACTAGCTGGCACATCTCAGGGTTCTAGTAAAGAAAAATCAAAAGAAATTCTGTGATTCTAAAGTCTATGACACTTGCCCTGCAGGAGTTTGTAACCCAATTAATGTGGCTCCTGTTTTTGGTTGTGTAAAGATCCAGCAACAATTATCCAATGAATGCTATCTACTGTGTATCATTTTTATACTGATACTATGATTAAGAGTCCTATTAATTTTTAAAGACTGTTACACACTTCTATCCCACCTTACTTCAAATAGTTCAAGATGACCCACAACGTACCTGGGGGGAAGGCTGAGAATATAGAGAGTGACTTCGGACAAGTCGTACAGTGAGCTACAAGAAACTGAATTGCAGTCCAACACCTTGACTATGATACCACAGAATAATGGTTCACAGGCAATAGAATAGAACTGTAGCCTGCCACTGAGAGAACTACTAATTAAGATTATGTTCAATCTTGATAAGTGACAAGTCACTATATTATGAATACTATATCACATGTAGTAGGTAGTAGCTTATTTTTTTTCCAACAAAAATCATTTAAATTCATCTTAAAAATGCAATTGGATTGTTTTCCTGTTGCTCTGGGAAAAAAAGACACAAATAATTTCACCATTGCTTCAAATACCTGTGCTTGAAGATTGTGATTATACAACCATTCCTTGGAGTCTGGCATGTTTCAGATAAGTATCACTACAATCCCTTTAATTCACAGCCAGTGTGTTGGAGGTAGCTCATAGGGGTTGCAGTCCAGCACTTATAGAGGGCACCAAGTTGCAGAAGGTTACCAAAGAGCTTGAAAGTGTGTGCTAGTATTACTGAACCTCGTTGGTTTCATATGTACTAGATTGTAAACCAATGATACTAGCACACATTTTCAAGCTCTAGAACCAATACACCTGCAAAGGCAGCCTTTAGAAGAATACTCTGTAAGAATTTAAATGAATACATGTATAACCATTCAAGGTAGCCTATGACTTTTTTTCATAAATGAAAAAGCTTTCAGTGAAGCAAGAACTCCCACTGGCAGACATAAAAGAAGGAGATTTTCCCTGATTCCCTCCATACTACCTTGTGTTCTATTCTGAAAAGGTCCTCCCAATCTTTCAGGCCTAATTTTTTGTTAAATTGCAAGGAAGTTGCCTAAAATTGCCTTCCGACCCTTCTGCCAGTGGGACCATGTTGTGAACAGAGTTTCATTCATAGTATCTCAAGATCCAAGCCAATGAACATAAAAATCTGATTTGTTGTGGTCTTAGTACTGGAGTGATTTTTGAAAACATTATTACATTCAGGTTCTATGATGATTTGCAAATCTACTTTAGCTCATTAATATCCACATAGTATGGTCTTTTTACTCTCTTTGTTCAATATCAAACAATTTAAGATGAGAATTCTTGCACGGCCAACGATACTTTACAATTACTATTGGACCTTCATTGTGTTTTGTTAGCAGCATGAAAAACTGAAAATCTGCTCTGAGCAAAGTACCCTTTCAAGCTGTCTTGCGAAGCAATCTCCTCTTCCCGTTTTAAAAAAGAGAAGCAAAACTGCCATATTCCATCATTTCACACCACTCCAATTATTTCCCTGAGTACTCCATTGGCCAGAAAGATTTCTCTGTGTGCCCTGTGTAGATCCATAGTCTCTTCCATCTACTGCACGTGCTAGAGGAAGCCTCAAAAATTACATGAAAATCTTCATGGGGTGAATACTGTGTTCTGTACTCTTTAGTGAGGTAAGCTAGATTGCCTCTGCTGTACTAAACATCTGGGCAAAATGCCACCACTCAGGGGTGTCTGTGTGATCAAAGGGGTGGGGGTTTTGATCACATGGGCATAGGTGCCATCTTGACTTTTTTGTTCCCTTCCTATGGAAGCCACTGCTGCCTCCTCAGTCAGGCCTATGAATTTCCTTTAATAGGTTACCCATTAAATGTGTGCTCTTTAATCAATTGTAAGTGGGTCTGCATTTGAATGTCACTGTACTCTTATTTTCCTCTAACAAAAGAACTGGTGATAAAAGCAACTGATTTACATAACCTTCATTATGGTACTTTCCTTATTAATTCCTTTTCTAGAAGTTAGAATATTCAGCCACCTTTTCTATAGATATCTTTTCTATTTCTTTTTTTTTCCCCCATGTTTTTAAACTTTGTTGAGATCTTTCCGGGGGAAACAAGTAGAACAAAGATTTTGCAAGGAAAGAGATCAGCCCTTCAGATTCCACAATGAAACCACTGAAATGATGGTTTCAAAATAACAACATCCAGTTATCTTGATCATATTACATGTGTGACCAACCTTTCCATCTCCCTACCCTTCTGACCCCAGTATGAAGCATATGCCTCAGGCAGAGATGGCAATGATGAGAAAACAATGAAACATGAGTCACAACATCCCAACACAAAATCTGGCCTTTCGTACTTGCCTCCCAGTATCAGACTCAAGTACGTAAATTGTGTGGTTTGTGTTGGGATGTTATCATGCATGTTTCACCCCCATGCCTCCCCCTTTGGAATCCTATGGTATGAGACTGAGACTAATTGTGGGTTATTCTACATTGTCCCTTCCTTGCAATTTTTCCCAGTGAAAGTGAATATGGGAAGAAATGACCACAATTAATCAGAACTATGGGGCAATTGAGGTTTTGTTTTTTTCTCTAACTTATCCATTTGGGGGAGAGCCACTGCCTTAAAAAGGAACTTCCCCACTCCCAAAACACGACCCCCAGATCACATGGCTGCTTGCTCACTCAAAACTCATTGTGCACCAAAAATGGACCCGCACCTTCATTTGGGTCTTTGTTTTAACATTTCATACTAAAGGGGAAGCTTACATTCATCTCTGAAGAGCAATTGCTGGGTTGCAACAGATATTCCTTGTGGATTTGATCTGATTTTGTCACTTGTTTAGAGTGCTCGATGTTGTATCTTTTTCAAGGACTTCAGCCATTGAGTCAACATATATTGGAAAAGAATGTTGACTGCCTATTAAGTACAGGCTGACCTTGAGAGTGGGTTG